ATATTTAGCTGGTGATGAAAGCACGTGTCACTCCGTTAAAGAGCACCAGATCCTGATAAAACCCGATAATGAACGTACAACGCCATGTACGCCGCGTCTCATGAGAAATCATCAATAATGGATAGGCGAATTTCGCGTGATATGAATGTAAATGCGGGACAATGCGAGATCTCTCTGTAAAAGTGCAATAACATTCAGCCAGCCCGCTCGGGAGGGTCCAATCCAATTGCATTTCAACAACGACGCACGTGCGTAATAATCACACACGGTGTGCACGGATGTGAAAGAAATATTCATTCCCCGGGGCGGGGAGAAGGAGGAAAGAATCTGATTAATCCCCAACATCCTATAACATGATTATTACTTGTGCGGAATAAAGCGCATCATTACAATGCTGCCTTTTATTGGAATAATTGGAATTTAGCTGAAGCTAAATTTTAAGCTGAATGTGGAAGAGAATATGGCGCTTCTATCGTGCTTTTGTTACAGAAAATCGTGAGTTACTGAAAATATATGAAAAAAAGAGATTCTTCAATTTTGAGTTTAGAAGATAAAAAAAATTATATCGTACTTCCCTATTCTTTTTTTTTTTTTTTTTTTTTTATTCTTTAGAACACACACGCGATAATACACGTTGACTTTAGCTCGCAGAAATGTCAGAAAAGAAATGTCATAAGAAATGTCATTTAACGGGCGACAATACGAGCAAGCGAAAATAGATTATTATCATCCCTGTTTCGTGAATAATGAGAGAGTTTGGTGCGATGCCTCAATCTCAGGCCCTTCGTTTCAACACTACGGAACTACACAATGAGAGCTTCCGCGGCAGCGTGCTGTTTCCGTTTCGCACACACTTTTCATCGCATCAATGCACATTCCGTCATACTTTTGCATTCTACGATCGGCGCTGAATCGCTCGATCGCGAGCGCGAATCAAGAATTGCGCGCGGCTAAAATACCGCGGAGGTGCACATTGCAAAGCTAATTGTTGCTAATTGGATTTCCGTGCACCCACCCACATTCATTCAATATTCGTGTTTACGTGTATCGAAACTATTCTACTCATTTTGCCAAAGCGGCAAGACGCGCCTACATTGTTCGTAGTTTGCTCGTTAACCAATGTATTATGCAATCACAACGTGACATAAAATTACGTTGCAGCAGCATATTATAATATTCGTAAACTTATATTATCGGTTTATTAGTAAATTAATAATTAATGTTGACACTACGAATATTCGGAATAATTACAGAATTATTTTCTGAAGATTTGTCTGGTTTTAACATACCTATTAAAGATATGTTATCGGCTATATGTTATTTCTTCGCGTCCTTTGTTTTATCACTATTCCGAATGGTTGGGGTAGATCCGTAATAGCGTAATTTCCGGTACCCCCGAGGAAAAATGATCCGGGTATCAAGGGGATTGCCCGGCGATCGCACGTGTGCGCAATGCTATCACACCGAGGAGAAAAATGAGCGGGAGAAAAAGACAGACCTTTACGTTTCAACATTGACGTTACCGGAGCAAATAACGCTCGTTTCCCGCGGGAATTGCTCGAGCGAGCGATGTATCGGTTGGAAGAATCGAAATTGCCAGCCGTTCGTGTACTCATTATGGCTCAAATGCCCGCGATATTTTCTACAACTCGCGAAATTGCTGATGCTTTGCTTATACAAATCTCGCGAAAGAGAAGCCAGATCGCCAGAAGTAGAAAAGCTTCAAAAATTCCGGCCGGGGCGCAATCCAGGAAACTCGATTCTCCAATTCGATTTGTCGAACGGTGCCATTTGAAAAGCGGAAGCTGACGAGAACGCTGCGGTCCCGATCCGATTTACATTCCGCTATTCGAATTCGATCGGATAGCGATTCTCGACGACAAGCGTCATTAAAGTGCTCCAGCCTTCTCGAACTGGTTCGCTACTCGACACGCGCTAGTGCTTAATTCATGCAGATTACAATGAGGCACAAACAGCTTGTTGTTCCGTATAATCGAATGTATCCATTCCCAGTAAAAGCCCTCGAAACTTCGTATATATAAAGTGCAAAAAAACACTAAAAAAAAAATAACCATATCCTGCCTGAGAAAAGAAACGTCTTCTTTTCTTTTATTAGTTGCATTTATGATTTGTGTGCGAAATAAAGTGTGCGAAATAACGTTAGGATTAGCATAGAAAATTATTCCTTTGATAAACTTAAAAAACATAATTTCCGTCATAATTGTTTTATTATACAAATTTCTTTTATTATAAAAATTCTTTATTATATAAGATAGTTTTTTTTTTTTTTTGGTAATTTAACCAGATATTATTTTAACAAATTTTTTTATTCAATTTTATTCAGAAGTGCGCTTCTTATTATATTTAATTTATTATATATAATTTATGTATAGTAATATTTCGTATTTTCTTATATTTTATATATTAAGATTAATTAAAGGGCTAATTCATCGATCTATTTGGATTTTATAGCCTCCAGCATAGCCTCCAATGAATTCATATAGCACGAGGCTGCATTTCACTCATCTTAAGAAATTGTTAAAAAGAAGCCCCGGAGCGTTGTATAGTGCCGTATATGCGTTGTAAAGTGCATAAATATGTACCGGATCATTTTATCCAGCATGGTATATTGCGAAGTTTCGAGATTTTCCATTTGTTAGGTATGCCTGCCTGATTTCGCCCTCGGCAAGCTTACAGCGAAAGGCATTTCGACAATTCATTGAGTCTAACAATATATCGCTTTACTCGATTTCACATTGCCCGGTTTCATTGTTATTTACAAATACGTTACGGATTACTTGAAATATTACATCGACATTTCATATGACTCCAGACTCGACGGGCGAAATGAGCTGATATAAAATTACACGATATTTCACGATTGAAGTTCGGATAAATCCAAGAACTTGGGCGATTCTAAAAACTTGCGACTTTATCACTTTATGTGATTGTAAAAACTTTAGAGCAAAACATTTTCTTAGCATTTTTTAAGTTTTCCGCAATATATTGAATCAAGGGGAAAGAGAAAACTTAAAAGTTGTAAAACCAGAAATTTTTGTTCATAAAAAAAAATGTTAGAAAAAAATTGCATTCATATTAATTTAAGGACCTGCTGTACGTAATTGTAAGAAATGTTTTTTTCTTGAATGCCAGTAATTGTTCGCGATAGAGTAAAACGAATATAAATGCTCGTTTTCTGCTTTCAAGAGACCACAATCTCAACCTTAATTTCACGAGCCATTTATTAAAGAAATTTTTAATGGAAGTATAATTCAAATTTAAATGGAAATAGAATATAAACTGTGGGCGTGAATACTTGATCAAAATAAATAACAAAAAATAAAATATGCAATAAAATATATATAACTAAATACTCACAAAGTGCATATTTGCATATATATATTGTCAATAATTTATCTACAAAACGTATTTTACATTAAGTACGAAAAAAGTCAAATCGGAATCAAGAAATGTTTTTATAAAAATATAAAAAAATTAATGCTGATTCAATAACTATATATTAAGCCTTTGACTAACTAAATCTTGTTAATTAAAATCAATCCGATTATTGCAAAAGTTCATTTAGGTTCGAGGTTCAGAATCGCGATTCAGAATCTGAATCTAAGCATCGAGATTTCAAATTTATTTGTTATCCAATCTTTCTTCGCACGTCGTAAAAGATCTCTGAAATCAAGTCTAAAAAAATGACTCGTTGAAAAAATGGAACTTCCTTTACGCCTATCGCTGCGCCGCGAATTACAGTAATCCGTAATTGATTTTCGTCGCTCTGATTTCAGAAAAAAATGCGCTCCGCGGCCGTATGTATCGCCTTCGTCTTGACATACACGAGCGGGTCGTTTGTCGCGGGTTTGCGATACATCGATCCGCAGGCGGGAAGTAACGGCGACATCGGCGACAAACGATTGGACCTGACCGAACCGTCGTGCGACGAGCTACGCGCCATGTGGAGGTACACGAAGAGGCAGAGCAGAGCCGCTAAAACCACCAACGGATACCCGATATACCCGTACAATCCCAATATATGGCCACGTGCGGCAATGTTTCCCAATGATCGCATTAAATTATCCAGAGGATACACGCGAGGTGAGATCCTTACGCTTCCCGGAAACAGCCGCGCGGACAGCCGCGCGACAGATCCTCGCGAGATCTTTCCGAAAATTCGAACTTTCCGTCCGTACATAAATAACAAAAAAAAAAAATAAATAAATAAAAATAGATAATTTCTTTAATGTAAGACTGAAAAAGGTCGCAGAAATTAAAGAAAACTATTAATTGGCCTTGCGCAGATCTTGGCGCACCTACACGACTGAAATTACGAGAAGAGTTGGAAGGTAAGCAAATTTTCTGCTTCAGTAATTTCTTCAGCTTGCGTGTCGCTTAGTAGAAATGCAATGATTATAAATGAAATGAAATCAGCTTCGCTAGCTAAATGTTACTTCCTCCTGCTTGGTTCGCTTTGCAAAAAAATGCTTGTCAGCCGACTCGATAAGAGAGCAAATTTATCTCGCCGCGATCGGCAGTGATATTAAGTCGAAGAATTTCTTTCGCACAACTCAACTTGTATCTTGTTCGATAGAAAAGAGCGCCGCGTCGTTGGGGTGAAACGCGTGTAATGTAAGGGAAGGAATCTGTGCGTTTTATCGATTTTGTGCATCGAGTGGTGCATCGTAGTCCACGAGTTGCAGCGCAAACCCTGGCCAGGCGGGCTGCAATATCATCTTGCAAATACGCGACACACACACACACACACACACACACACACACACACACACACACACACACACACAGTGGGCGATTATTAATTTGCCTAACAGAGCGTATGTAGCCGCACAACTGATGATCGGGTTGCAATGGCGCGCTAATAAAACGCATTTACGATTTAATTTACGACGATGGGTATTACAAATTTTAGCTACAAATAACTACATTTATGTGTCGTTACACGAGACGAGACCCACATTTCGCCGCGTTATTTTATTCAACGCCATTTCTCCAAGCGGCCGTGATTTATACCAAAAATCAAGGAATGCGGGATTAAATTGCAGACTCGTATTCCATAATGATCGAATTTTTCCCCGATGACTAACGGAGTAGTCAGTCGATTAAACGGAAATATGTCAAGTGAATGAATTGTAAATTGAAAATCCGCTTCACCACGGAAATTCCATCCAGCTATTGCGCTGTGCGAGGAGGAAAATGCAAATCCGTTGTATTTTTCCGATTCGTCGCCGAAGCTGTAGTATAATAATGGTGTGATTCAGTCATCTTTCGAATTCCTTACGGCCATTGCGATACCCTCACGGACACACTGGGACACACCAAATCGTTTCCCATTCGACGACGAGAAATCGGCTTACTTCCCCATCTCCTTGGCTTCTGTGTACAATGGCAGGCGGCGAAACGATTTTCCCCCGGAATCGTGAAAAGGAGCAAACCTCCATAACGGACTTACCACATCCGAACAATCCGACGCCACGTCTGAAAGGCTTTATATCCTTTTCACTGTCCTACTGCACCTGATACCCGTGTCATACTCCTCGAATTTTACGCCACGACGACCTCGCTCAGCCTGCATACGTAATTGTCACGGTCAATGCTTTTCTTTAATGCACACACGGCCGCACTCCTCCTCTAAACTCCACTTTTTATAAAACGTCGAGTAAAAGTCTTAAGTAAAAATTGTATGTTTTAATGTCTTAATAATATTTTGCATTTCCTCCTTTAATTTATTTCGTACTTCGCTCATTAACAAGTTTCCTCCTTTTTTCCACATGGTGAAATTTTAAATCCTACTTTTGACCTTAATTTTAAAATTTCTAAAGAATCACAATACAGATTCATTGTTTATATAAAATAAGTTCTATTGTATCTGAAAACAGCAAACATTTTACTTGGAGGCTTAAAAGAGGAATTTTTGGCTATTTTCAATAAAATTCTGTGATTTTAAATGGGAACTCTTTGGTGTTAGAGGTGTCTAGATATTAAGTAGTAATCAAAGAGGAGGTTTTGGCTATTTTCAATAGAATTCTCATCATTTAAAATGGAAATCTTTTGGTGTTAAAGTGTTATCTAGGTATTAAACGATAATAAAAGAAGCGGACTGTTTAAAGAATCAGAACAGCCGATTGAGGTTGAGAAAAGTAGAAGAGAAATTCCGACTCGGGTTTTCTAATGCATTACATTTGTCATAACCAATATCAGTCCTTCGATCGGCGCACGACTCTTCAATTATTTTCACATGTGCATAATCTTGGACACGTCAGCATTTAATGCCAGAAGCAGAATATCGAAAACGTTCGATCAGGTTCGATAATGTGCTCGATTCGAACTGATGTTTCACGTGGCAGTAATAATATCGCTTCTTGATATGGCCTTTGTGCATATCGCTTATAGGCCAATTAACATTGTCCGCGTCACATTTGTCACATTCATTCGTGCTAATTTAATAAAGTAGACGGCTGCCGAGAATGAACGCGATTAATGTGACGTGTGAATGGATGAATCGGGACGATCAGAAATTTTCGACACACCTCAAATCTAAATGCGAAAAATTATTTTTAAAATCTATCTATATTTTCCTCGCACATTCCTAGGGAGTAGGATTATCTATCGATTGTGAATGTGATACACTTCTAAACGCTTTGCTAGACTCTTACCGATGATACGCGGTGATTACATTCCCGAAATTGAGATCTTTCAAAGTTGCAGCGATATTTGATGCGTTGCTACGATACATGTGTATACCACATTGTGTGGGATGTACGCAATTAGTAATTACCAACGTAATTAATTACAGGTCTAATTGGCCGAGCATCTCTCCAAGGAGACAGAGAGATACAATGGAAGTGTGACAACAATGGAACAATTATAGAATTATATAGTAGGCATCTTACATGCGCATCTCATTGTCATCGTTAACAATACTATCGCAGATTTTAAAATTTTAAATTTATCTAAAAGAATATTGAGGGGATATAACGTAATTTTTACGAGTCTAAGAAAAATAAAAAAAGCACTTGTAAGACAACTTTAAAAAAAAAAAGGAAAAAAGAAAACAAAAAGAGAAAGGAGACAAAACAAAAAATTCCTAACTTTTGTAAAACACGCGCCCACCGAACGTGGACAACACGAAGACGAATCCTCGAGCGAGAGAGAAAATGAAGGAACTTACGACGAGGAATTTCAAATTCATTTCCGCTTCCCTTACCAAGAACTCTAACTCTCCTTTCTTTCCTCGCGTACGGTAAACTTTACGTCGGGGCTGGCCACCCCGCTTGTTTTCTTGTAACCTACGTTCAACCGTGAATATTTTACGAAAAACGAGAAGAGCGCTAGCCCAGTGCCAGCTGGACGATATTACATTCGCCGTTTCGCCGCCATGTGACACACGCACGACGCGCGCACATCTTCCCAAAATTATAGAATCAGCCTGTGAATGCACGAAGTCCAGGAAATTCTCATACGCACTCTCTTAAAGAG